ATAATATGTAAATTAGCTGCAATTTCACAAATCGTTAAAATTTCAATCGAAATATTAAAGTAAAATTTGCTACTTCTATTTAATTTCTCATGAAATAAGTCAAAAAATATTATAACTAGTTCATTTATTTATTAACAGAGAACTTCAAGAACAGGATCAACTTCAATATGATAATACAAATTTTATTTTTATTCGTAATGCAGCACAAATAATCGAGACTAAATATTCATCTATCAATAACACATTGGAAATTGAAGCATCTAGTTGTCGTCTTGCAGGCATTCTTTTTTGCAATGTTTTACGTAAAATGTTCTTTGCTCTGTACAATGTTGAACCAGTATTAGAAAGTGAAAAAACACCAATAATCGAATCAATGTCTCGTAAACTATAATAATATTTTATCTAAGCAAATCTTCACAGTAACATAATTTAGTTCATTCAACAACAAAGCAAATTCGTAAAATTATCTTAAATATGCCACAGTTGTTTTTTAAAAAACGAGATTTAACAGGCCCAATGGGTTTATTGCGACATCATGCAACAGATATGGTTAACATTGTAATCGATGAATTAATCGAATATCAATTAATAAGACAAGGACGTGAGTTTTGATGAATCTATTTGTTTTAATAATTTATTAAACTGCGACTTGATATATTGCTCATTTACTGTGTAAAATTTTTTTAAACAAATAGCATTTATAACAAACTCACCTCGAAGCATCATTCATATGAAATCTTATCCTTCACATAGCATCTTAAATGATCCAGTTAAACGAAATATAATTGATCGAATTTTTGGTGATGTAAATATGAACTTAACAACATACATGTCAATATTAACAGGCAGTATTATAAAAGAAAAGCAAACATTAACAAAAACAGGAAAAGAAATATTGCTACAGCCTGAACATAATATTTTATACAATAGCTTGAAACAAAAATATCCTGAACATTTCATAGAAAGTAAGCTTCATTTTTTTTAAATGAACAAATAGATTATTTTTTTTCCGATGCCTTTTTACTATTAATGTTTTTTAAATATAACATTAAAGGTTCAATATCCAACGAAACAAATGCTGAACAAAATATAAGTAATGCTTCATCAAATCATTCAAGATTGACTACTGAAAATGCAAATACTATCAATATAAGTAAATCGTTAAATACGATTAAAAATTAGTGTTTAAAATTTCTTTATAAACAGTAACCGGCATAGAAGAACCAATTTTATGTCATCAAAATCAAAATTTAATATCTAATGGGTCGACTACATCAAATACAAATTTACACTCAATTTCTCAAACTGAAACTTTATATTCTTATGAAAAATTAACTAATACTACAACGAATAACTTATTGAATCGAAACAGTAGTATCATATATTATAAAAAAAAATCATAATATAATTCAAATTGTTTTTAGGCAACCAAATTCAAGATAAGATAATCTTGGGTTCTATAAGTATACTTTGCAATACTATAGTGTTAAAAATTTATTTTTTATTTTATTTTTTAATTACCAACCGGCTCTTATAGGTAGAATCTTTTCAAATAACAATATACCTAACTCACAAAGCTTAAATAATTTTTCTTCAACAAATAATTATGGTTTTCCAATATCACCAATCACTAGTATTTTATCAGCGTGTCACGTAACGACAGCACCAATATATCAACTTCCATCGACTACAAAAAATTATCAACCAGCTATAGCACAAATATTCAACGAAGCTATTGCTTCTACAACCACAAAAACAACGAACTCTGTTTCTAAAAATGTTAATATTTTAGACAACAATCCCATTTCTCATAACTTAAACGGTAAATCCTATTCTGCACGTCAAAAACGTTTCTCGGATTTGAAAATAATTTAAATAGTATTCGCTTTCTAAAAGTGTACCTTGAGAACTATATAAATTTTGTCTACTTACGAACAATGAAAAAATTTTTCACCGTTTTAAAACATTTGATTATATAACAAAATTTCATAACACTCTCTCAAAACTTAGGTTGTCAATAATGTTGAATCTACAACATCATTTTCTCAAAATGAAAACAACACAATGCATCTATCTACTTCGAAAAACAAACGAAAAACTTCCGATGAAACTAATAAACCTAAACGTCGCTTTCCGGAGAAAAAATAAACAAGGACTAATATATATTTATGACATCCCATGGACTCTCTTTAAAAATCAGATTTGTTTTGTTAACTGTATAAAATAAATAAACTAGCATGATTTACTCAAATAGAAAATGAATTTAACTAACAACATATATCCAAAATATCAGTGTTTTTAAGAAAAATATAAAATAATGAAAACATCAATATCAGAAACATTTAAATAATAATGTATCAATCAGAACTTAAGATTTTCGTAGAACTATCCATGAATAGATCCATTGAAACTGATTATAGCCAATTTCATATAAATTAAAAACACTACGATTTAAAATATAAGTACGCAGTCAAATGTACCGCCATCATAACTGTCAAACTATAGACTGAATCAAATAAATTTTCATATCTATAATCAGAAAAAATGAAAATTAGTTATCAAGTTTAAAATAGAAACACAACAAAACTATCAAACATAATAACTCATACACAAACTAATCGACACCTCTATATAATCGTGCTTTAACTGCTCAATAAAACATATCAATATGATTCGTATTGAAAAAAACAATATTCTAAACACAAAATTTTATATTTAAAGCATAATAATTACAATGGTTATTTTAATAAAGAAGGAAACTATCCATAAAAATTTTCCTTCAACTACTTTCCCAACAAAACTACAGCAACTATTCTTGTTCATCTTCTCACATCCTCTCACTACCCAAATACCATAAAAAAACATTTAATTTTAGTAACAATATTAAAAAAAAATTACACAAAAGCCCATAGTGTTAATTTAATGTCCAGCTGTCCAAGTCGCTCGAACATATTAAAGAAAAACTACTTAGGACGTACCAAAAGTTCGTAGCCCGATGTTACTTAACCATAGAGTAACCTTTAAAAAACCTTATTTCTATACAATCTAATAGAGAAACGAATGCTCTATTTTTCTATGCTATTTGATCATACTTCAGCTAATATCGTGATAATAAATTTTCAATAAGACTTTTTTCATTATCATTTGTGCTCGTAGTACTGGATCACAACGGATGAATCAGGTTAGTTTTCAATCCCTCAATACATTGTATTAACGAACTAAAATATACTATAAGATGCAGTGTGAAAGCTCTACAATTTACATAAGATCACTTGCTGTATAGTTGCACTTTTCGTTATCAAAATGAACAAAGTTTTGAGGGGTCAAATTTTGAGCATTGCAAAAATTGGTTGCAGATAATTTTCCTTCTTTTGAAAACAATTACGACAAGCTTTACTATGAAGACTGTAGAGCTTTTCGCGCTGCATCTTGTGGTGTATTTTGTTTTCTTTTGATAAAGCTTTTCAGATGACGAAACGATGTAGTAACAAAAAATGAATTCGCCGTGTATCAAAAACATTATCAATTTTGCATGGTCGAAATTCGATCACTCACAATTTTGTCAATTTTGAAAACGAAAAGTGCAACTATAAAATAAACGGTCTTGGGTAAATTTTAGAGCTTTTCACGCTGCATCTTATAGTATATTTTAGTTCGTTAATACAATGTATTAAGAGATTGGAT